TGCACTGGACCTCGGATATCACACCAGCCAGCTGGCGACGAACGGTTGCCCCCCCCCCCAAAAAAAAACGAACTCCAGGCTAGATCCGCCCCTGACCCCCTGATCTTAGATCACAACACATCACACATCGTACACAGGGTCATACACATAATATAACGCGTCTCACTGGCACATGGTACGATGGGCGCGCTGTCGTGCGGTACAACTCCTCCCCGGCGGTTGCGGGTCTCGGTTCACATCATGACCGTCAGCTGTCAAGCCCTCAATGTTTCCTCCCGTTCCTGGCTCTGCCTCCGGCGCCCCGGCCTCCCTGACCTCGCGTTCTGCGCCCTGATCCACACGCGGAGCCGCTATTTGGAACACGCTCGGCTCGTCTACATCAGAGTCTTCCGCCGCCTCCCTTTTTTCACTCGCGTCATCTCGCTCCACCCTGGCGACAAGCAGGTCGCGCACGTGCCGAGGCATCCTGGATGTCCAGAGGGTTCATGCGCTCTGCGGATTTCTGACAGCTCATCCGCCGCCTCATCACTGGAGACGGCGGCGCAGGTGACACCGTTGGACGCAGCCGACAGTCACTTTTGCGGCACTCAAGTGAGAACATCAGCTTCGTTCTCACAGGAGCTCACGAAACTGACGCTGGCTGCCAGCTCGTACTCCTTGATGGTCGACTTGAAGGTCTGCAGGCGCCGGCGAATCAGCATTTCGCTAGCCGCCTTTGTACTCAGACGAGCTTTGCCCGAGAGCGCGTCGGAGACCCAGTGGTACACGGACCGAGAGTCAGTCATCACCTCCACAGTCTTGGCTCCCCACACGATGGCCAAATTTATGCCTTTCAGCACGGCGTCCATCTCGGCCATGTTAATGTGCACACACTCGTCACGTCGGAGCCAGCTCTCGTCTTCCACTATCTCCCCGTTCACCTCCAGGGCCGCTCCCAGTGCCAACGAACTAGCGTCCAACCACGCTCTCGCCACGGTACCGTCCACGTTCCTCCGCCTTCCCGCGGGGTCAGCCTCTGCCGCGCGGCGCAGCATCTCTTCCACCATCCCGATCACGCGTGCGTCTTTCACTTCCTCATCCCACGATGTTGGCACTGAGTTTGTCAGGCGCTTTACGAACGAGCGTTTAGTCAGTGGTCGCGGCACGTCAGTCACTTCGTTGTCCCTCCGCCACACGAGCCGTCCTCGCTTCTCCTCGACGCGCAGTCCGGGCGCCATACGGGCGCCGTCGGACAGCCGCACGGCTGGCTTACAGTCGAGACGATACCGGCGGAGGTAGGCTTCCACATACTGTGCGAGGGCGACGTTTTTGTTGACGAAAATACCGTCCACATACGGGGACGCTGCGCGGTTGACTCTGGAGTCCCAGCTCAGCACTGCAGCCAGGATCTTCTTCAGCACCAGCGGCACTATGTTGAAACCGAATCCCAGACGGGTCAGGCAGTACTGGGTGCCACGGAACACGACCGTCTGGTAGGACCGAAGGGATTCGTGAACATGGATCTGTAGGTATGCCTCACGGAGATATATCAGCGCAGCGCCGCGCCCCAGCTTATGCCACTTCCGCAGCTTCTCAGCACACACGTCTGCGTCGGCGGTGTGAGCTGTGACGTGGTCATTGAGTTCCCTGAAGTCCAGTACCGGTCTTACTTGATCCTTGTTTGGGTTGACGACAGCCATCAGAGGAATGGTCCCTCGGACCGGGCCCTGCAGCCGCTCGTCATACGGCTGCAACCATCCATTGGACACCCATGCAGACAGCTCTTCCTCGCACGCGCTCCGTATCGCAGGTGTTATACGGTACTCGGCAGCCTGATTCAACAGTCTCTCTAGTTTGACATCCTCGGCCCATTTCTACACCACAGTCCATTTCCTTTTCTCTCTGTCACGCGTGGCCCGGAAGTCCGTCTCTTCCACATTTACCACCGCTATCAGCTGCCGCCGCCACCGCCGCCCACTCACTGCTCCCGGCCTGTGCCGCCGCGGCCGACCCCTCACTGCTCCCGGCCGCCGCGGCCGACCCCTCACTGCTCCCGGCCGCCGCGGCCGACCCCTCACTGCTCCCGGCCGCCGCGGCCGACTCCTCACTGCTCCCGGCCGCCGCCGCCTCCTCGCTCCTTCTCCCGGCCGTGCCCTCCTCCGGCTCTTCACTGTCTCCCTGCCTCCGCCGCCCTTCCTCCTCTCGCGTCCTCCTCCGCCTACTCCTCCCTCACGCCTTCCTCCGCCTCCTACCGACCATCTGCTTCTCTCTCCTCTTCCGTCCACCGGCCGTCCGCACTTCCTCCTCTGTCCGGCCGCCGCTGCTGCCACGCAGGCGCCACCGACTTCCATTCCAAAACGCTTGTCTCCGGGCGACCTCACATTCATTCCGCCCAAAGCCTCCACTCCATCCATTCCATTCCAAGAATCGCCGAGAGGCCGAGCGGCCTTTTCTTTACAACGATTGCGTTCACGATCACCGCTGCACGCAGTCCTGGGAGCTGAATGCAGACGTCAACCGTGCCGGCACAATCAAAGCGTTGACCGCTAACCGTCGTCATGCTGACATCTCTCCTTTGCCAATTGGCACGCAGAGACGAGTGCAATATGCTGCGCGTGCATCCCGTATCGATGAGTACCTCGCACTCAGCTTCCCCCAGTGCCAGCACTCCGACCGGCAGCGCACCGCAACACCTCAGTCCCGAGAGGAGGCCGGCGCACGAACATCCTCTCGATCCCCGTTTCCCGGACATTGGGCTGCCGTATGCCCCCGACCATCACAGCGGTAGCACTGGATAACTCCTGCATTACCGTCTGCACGTGCAGAGCACTGCCGTGCGATGTGGCCCGGGCGACCACACGCGTAGCACACTACACAGCTGTTCGGTTCGCCGTACGAACCCGGCTGCCGTGTGAGTGGCCCTCGTCGTGTCAGGGCAGCTGCCTCCTCCGGTCCGTCGCTCTCCTCTCAGAGGACGGCGCGCGGCTGCCTCCTCCGGTCCGTCGCCCTCCTCTCAGAGGACGGCGCGCGGCTGCCTCCTCCGGTCCGTCGCTCTCCTCTCGGAGGACGGCGCGGCTGCCTCCTCCGGTCCGTCGCCCTCCTCTCGGAGGACGGCTCTGGCGCGGCTGCCTCCTCCGGTCCGTCGCCCCCCTCTCGGAGGACGGCGCGCGGCTGCCTCCTCCGGTCCGTCGCTCTCCTCTCGGAGGACGGCGCGGCTGCCTCCTCCGGTCCGTCGCCCTCCTCTCGGAGGACGGCGCGCGGCTGCCTCCTCCGGTCTGTCGCTCTCCTCTCGGAGGACGGCGCGGCTGCCTCCTCCGGTCCGTCGCCCTCCTCTCGGAGGACGGCGCGCGGCTGCCTCCTCCGGTCCGTCGCCCTCCTCTCGGAGGACGGCGCGCGGCTGCCTCCTCCGGTCCGTCGCCCTCCTCTCGGAGGACGGCGCGCGGCTGCCTCCTCCGGTCCGTCGCCCTCCTCTCGGAGGACGGCGCGCGGCGGCCTCCTCCGGTCCGTCGCCCTCCTCTCAGAGGACGGCGCGCGGCTGCCTCCTCCGGTCCGTCGCCCTCCTCTCGGAGGACGGATCTGGCGCGGTCCACGATCTCGGCAAGAGAGAGGGAGACTCCATCCTCGCGCCAGCACGTAGCAGCTGTTTGGTCGATTCGGGCAGCCCGGTCACAAAAGCGCAGCCCACGCCCTCCTCTGACAGGCCGTCAAACAGCGTCGCCAGCTGCTGCAGCTCCGCCAAATAGACGTCCACGGATTCACCGGCGTGCAGCCGTCGTGCCGTGAACAGCTTGTACGCTGCGAACTTGTGCACGGCGAAGGCACGACGTAGAGCCTTCTTGACTTGCTCGGCGTCTCTCCTGCGCTCTGTTGACAGCTGTCGGTAAACGGCCCAGGCGCCGCCTTTCAGACGCAACGGAATGATTATCGTAACATCCGTAACATCCGTCTGCAGACTGCACACTATCTGCACCTTCTCAAGCCAGTCCACGATATCGCCGGTGCCATCAAATTCAGGGATAAGTTTAACGACAAAAGATGTCATGGTTAACAGCCGAAATAACTTGTAAGATAACGAAACAAAGAAGAGCGCAGCTGACTGTATTTAACACGTTACCGGCGCCTCCCTGCACACCTCCTCGCACCTCTCCTGTTTCTCACTGCTGCGGCGCCGGCCGGTCCGGGCGGCAGTCAGCTGACTCCTCAGCCAGACAGGGCTGAGGAGACGACCCACCCGTATCGGCCGGCCGGCTCGGCGTACACACGACACAGGTACATCTAAATGTTTGGTGCCAAACGATCCGCTATTCAGTTGTCAGCTATGCAAAATTTGGCGCGGCTACGCCGCACCGTTCGGAAACCATTCTGCAAAAACCTTCGGGAGGGTCAATTTGACCCTCCCCCCACCGGAGCGCGTGTTAATAATAAGCTCTTAAATGTTGCCCTGGAACTTAAAGCTGCCAGCACTGAGTCACGTACGTATTGATTGGTAAGAAGAGGGTAAGATTGGTAAGAAGATGCACCTGCGCTAGAGGGCTACTATACGCGCACACCCTTGCTCTCTTCTCGAAGTTAAGGGCTGTAACGCTGTCCCCAATTGAAAAGGAGCCTATACGCCTGGGTAAAACACACATTGCGACACACTTTCAAAGATGTAAGAGCTGATGTGTTTCCCTGAGGGTGAATGCAGAACGCCATCGTAGAGGACCAATGCCGGCTTATGAGCATAAGGTCAAACGATGTTCTGACTTTTCGTAACTCAACGGATTTCGCATCATTCGCATACGCGTGTTTCTGAACAAACTCCGCTTGTTAAGAGATGCTCTGCTTTCTTTGAAGTCTGAACTCCGGAGATGTCATTTCATGCAAGGCTTTGACCACGTTGGGTTAGCATTGCCCGGTTGCCCCCTTCCCCTCATCGCTCATGGATCCGCCCTTGCTTTCGCCTTGCGGAATTCGCCAGTTGGGAGGCACCACGCGAAACACCAGAATCTCAATCGATCTCGATCTCGGACGGGATTGCAGCGGAATCGATATTGTTTTAGATATATTTCTGTTCATAAATCTCTCTAGAATACTGGCCGTTTCCGCCATCATCAAGATGCGGTTTGACCATTTGAGGTAGGCGCGGTCTTTGTGGTCGCGGTATTTCTCGCCGCTGCGTCGCAGTGTTTGCTTGGGGTTCGTGGTGAGGCGCGGACGCGGTGTGAAATGAAAATTGGTTAGCTTATCATACAGGCCGCACTACTCATTTACTTTTGGCTCTGGTTAGGCTAGGAGATATAAAATGTTTATAGACTGTATGTGGCAAGCTTTGTTTTACCTAGACTGCGACCAGTGCAGTTCGCGCCGAACAGTGTTTTGTTTGCTTTGTGTATGTGATGTTTTCTGTTTGTGAAGGTGGCATGATGTGGATTTATGAGCTAATGCAGGATCAGTCCATTTTAGGTATTGTGTACCAACCAGAAAATGTATATTTACAGGATCAGTACTCAACAATCCAAGGATGCTAAAATTGTTTGCTGCAGCAGTCCTCACACTGCAGGTTGGTTCTCATACCTTGTTTTAATCACATTCACATGTTTTTCATTTGCTAGATTTACTGAGGTTTGCCTACATTTGTATTTGATAATTAATTGTATGTGTCTCAAGATTAGGGTTTGTCTATTTCAGCCTGTTTGTAACCTCATTGCAATACTGCATGCCTCTTACATACTTCAAGGTTTTTTGTCTCTATATTTCCATGCACATTTAGTCCAAATTTCTGATTGTTGTTAGGTTCAACTGAGCTATTATCACATACCCCTGGTTAAATCAAATGTTACTGAGCATTGTGCTCATAAGATATATGGACTATTTTGGGGAGACTACTTCATGGTCAATCAGGCATCCATGATATTGTAATGCCATTCAAATCACATTGTATCATTTGCCAGGCAGCAGTCAAGGCCAAGAAAAATGTAATTATCAAGGTGTTTGTATGTGGCATTCTTGTCATTGAAAATGAGTTTATTTCATGTCAGATCTTATAGTATATTTTGTTCCCCTTCAAATGTAGAACATTTCCTCCATTGTGCATTTCTAAAACATTGTATGATACACATCATTCTGCATAGGTGTGTGCTGCTGCTGGCCTGGGTGCCTACAAACAGCATCACTCTGTGGATGAAACAGTCATGGAAATGGCAAAGTTTGCTGTCCCTCGCATCCAGAAGCACATTAAAAGTGATCATTTCTTCACCTTGAGGTCTGTTAACAAAATACACAAGCAGGTAAGACAACAAGCACAGGTAAAAAGCTGCTGACCTTTGCAGTCCAAAAGTCCAGCTGTGTGGTGTGGTGTTTTGGTGTGGTGGTGTATAATAATCTTTTAAAAGATGTTTACAGAATTCCTGTTAAACCTTTGCTCAGAAGCATTGCTGGGGTGTTATTCACAATTCTTTATCAGTTGGTTGAAACAGGTGCATTTGTAATCAATGCAAATTTCAAGCCTGTCTGGCAAAAGTGAATCACATTTTGGTCAACACATTTTGCTATGTTGATGAGCAGAAGACCTGTCCTATTTGACCAATCCAAATCATCATCTGCTGAAGGGATGAGCTTGACAGTGTCGCCGCATGCATCGGATGTCGGCGGGAGTGAACACCTCCTGGCGCATGCCTGTTTTCCGAGTGTGTGCGCCGGCTGACCGCGCGCCGCACCGACCACAGCTGGTGTCCGGCACCAACTACCGCCTGGAGGTGCTGCTGGTGGAAACTGACTGCGCTGCTGAGGCGGGCGCCGACGGCCTGGAGTGCGCCGCCGCCTCCCGACCCGACACTGTGGTCAGTGCCGCCTGCCTGCTGCATACAGCAGCTATGCATGACCACGCAGCAGTCGACTGACTGGACTGGGATTGAACAGTGGAAGTGGGTGGATTGCTGGAACTTTGAGGGAAAGTAGGGTTGTAGGATGCTCTGCAGTATGTATCCACTTGTTTCCAGTCAACAGGCGCAGTTCTTTGTACCCCATAGCATCAGAATGGCATTCAGTCATTTAGTCAATACCATGCAGTGTTCATAGTCCAGATCAAATTGACCACCAGAATATCCTTGTGGAGATGGTCCACATTACTCGTTCCAATCCAATCTGCGCAGAAGTAGTATCCCATAAAAAAGGAAGTCGAGCACGCCTACTTCCTGATACCCAAGCGTTTGCTCTGGCTGGTGTCCACCGTGCGCACCGCGCGCGTTCTCCGTCGGCCACCACGCAATGTGCCGCACACCTAGCTGGGCGCCTTCGCCTAACAGGGGCGCCCTCGCTCACCGAGCGGCGGCGAGCTGGGCTGGTCGCTGCCTGACCGGCCGTTCGTCGACAGACCTGCCGCCTGGTGGTGTACGACGTGCCGTGGACGGGCCACCGCGAGCTCACCAAGCACCAGTGCAGCACGCCGGCGCCGGCGCGCAAGGCTCAGGTGAGGCTGGCGCGAGGCGTCCCGGGCCGGTCCGGCGCGGCCGCTGAGGCGGGCTGGGGGCTCGCTGGTGTCGAGTGAGCTCGGTGGCGGGACGGGATGGGAACTGATGCGCGTGACTTCGTTGGAAGCGATGGAGGCGACTGAGTGGTATTCGATGCGTCCTGGCGGGAGCTGATGTAAGCGTGCGAGACTTGCGCTACACCTTCATTACCATCGCCCGCTCAGCGTGTGCGGCTGCGAGCGTAAGCATAACATTACATGAGATCATCCATGACTTCGCCATTCCATATATACTTGTAGCATGGTAACGGGCGGCGCGTGCCGTCAAACAACCGGACGAACAGCTTAACCGTTGACCACGGCGCGGCGCTGTCGTTGCAGGGCCGTCGTAAGCACGGCAAGCTGCGCCGGCGGCTCTGGGGCAAGCGGCTGGCCGGCAAGGAGCTGCTGGCGAAGTTCGCCGCGTTCGTGCGTCAGTACAATCGCACCTACCCGAGCTCGGCCGAGTACCGCCGGCGCATGCAGGTCTTTGCCGACAACATGGAGCACGCGCGCAACTTCCAGCGCATGGAGCGTGGCACGGCTCGCTACGGCATCACCAAGTTCAGCGACATGACAGGTACGTCGGTGGCCGGGGTAGCGGGTGCCGGCAGCCAGAGCTGGTGACCAGCGGAGCGTCGGCTGGGTGTGCGTGGCTGCTCGTGTCAGCTGACTCCCCGGGCTGTGTGTCAATTGTGGGGTGTTATGCCGCTTCCTCGTGGCCGCGTGCGGTGCGGCGCACCCGACACCCCCTAACGTCGGCAGCGTGTCGTGTCTAGCGCGGCGGTAACACTGGCTATCCCTCTCATGCATGGGGCCCGCCCTGCCCCATGCTGTGACCATGTGCGCTCCCTGACCCATTAACCACCCTGAAAGGGTGCCCGCCATGGCTCCATGGCCGCCCCGGACCTCTGGCCGCCCTGACCTCTTGCCGGCCGCAGTGGAGGAGTTCCGCGCGACGCGGCTGGGCCTGGGTCTGTCGCGGCCGCGCCCCGCACCCGCCGGCGCCTTCCGCCAGCCGGCCGTCATCCCTGACATCGCAGACATGCCGGCCAGCTTCGACTGGCGGGACAAGGGCGCCGTCACCGCCGTCAAGGACCAGGTGAGCGTCCGGGCCGTGTCAGCGCCGGCTCGCGCCGGGACAAGCTGCCTGTGCTGTTGGTGCGCACGCGTCCTGTATGGTCTGTCTCGGACGGCCGCTGCTGCGCTGCAGCTGGTCAGACTTGCCGACTGCGTGGCCGTGAAAGCTGATGCGTCCCGAAGTCCCCAGCAGCGAGTCAGTGCTGCACTCTGTAGGCGTGTGGTGCGACATCTCGGTGAGGCCGCGATCCGGTTTCCAGCATAGTATGCACATTTTCAGAACAGCGGGACCGGGGCAGGGCCCGTCTCGCCGGAGCGTGCTCGTTGTGTGTGCTCCCAAACGTGCCTGGACCCGGTCAAGCGTGCCTTTACGGTTCTTGTGGAACACTGCTTGCATTCGACTCCAAGTTTGTCCGTGGTTGTCCTCGTGCAACGACCGCCGCTGTGCTGCAGGGCCAGTGCGGCAGCTGCTGGGCCTTCTCCGTGACCGGAAACGTGGAGGGTCAGTACTTTATCAAGCACAAGAAACTGCTGTCCTTCTCAGAGCAAGGTGGGTGTCTCTGTCGAGCCCTGAGAGTTGATGGTCTTGGTGAGTTCTCCGCCGCTGTGTGGGTAAAATTGATTGCGATGTGGCTACGACGGATTATTTGTGTCGCTGGATACTACAGCATCAGCAGCCTGGCTGAAGTACCGTTCTGCGGCGCGATCACGGGGCCCGCTGTGGGAGACAGTGCTGCGGTCGAAGATCGGGCTGGAGGTCTAGCGCCTATCTAGCCTATCTAGCCTATCTAGGTTTAGGTCAGGGAGGACCCCAGCTGACCCCGACGGGTCCCGCGACCCACAGAGCTGGTCGACTGCGATACCGACGATCACGGCTGCCAGGGCGGCTGGCCCGACCAGGCGTACAAGTTCATCGAGTTCCTCGGCGGCCTGGAGCAGGAGAAGGACTACCCGTACGAGGCGCGGAACGGCCAGTGCCGCCTCAACAAGACCGACCTGGTGGTGGGTGCCGACGGCGGCGCCGGACGCCGGCGGACGGACGCCGGCGGACGGACGCCGGCGGACGGACGCTCTCCGGCGACGGACAGGGCGGGGTCGCTGTCGGCCTCGCGCCGCGGCCCCGCGGGGGGGGGGGGCGGCCGCGCCGGGAGGCGCCGCGGCGTGGCGTGTTTGGCCGCAGCGCGTGCGACCGAAGGGCGGTCTGCTCACATGTGCAAGTTTGTGATGTGCCAGTGTTTGTTTGGTTCTGTTGGGAGGCGACGTTAAGATCCCGTGGGCGCAAACCCGTCTTGATGAAGTCGTTCTTGCCGCGCATCTAGGTCGCTGGGTGCGACTAGTCCGTTCCGGTCTAGAACTCTCCAGTGATGGGGTGGTCCCGGACGCAGGTGAAGCTGACCGGAAGTCTGGACCTGCCCAAGAATGAGGCTGACATCCAGAAGTGGCTGTTCGCTAACGGTCCGGTGTCCATCGGCGTGAACGCCAACCCGCTCATGGTGAGAGACGACCCGGCCGGGCTCTGGCACGGCGGCGCGCTGGGGTACCTGCCTACCAGGCGGCTGTCGCGGCGTACCGGTCTCGGCCTGGCCTCGGTGCGGACCCGCTGTTTAAAGGCCCGCTGTATTGTGAGGGCGTCGGTGTCGGCGCGTCGGCGCTGTGGACGGGAGCGGCTGACGCGTGTGACCTGTGCCGCAGTTCTACCAGGGCGGCATCATCGACGTGTGGTCGTTCCTGTGCAGGGCCTCAGCCATAGACCACGGCGTGCTGCTGGTCGGCTTCGGCGAGCACGGTGAGGTCTCAGCCGCGCGTCGCAGCCGACACGGCTGACGGCCGATGGTCGCCAGCTGCTGCAGCAGCGGCGACTGTTGAGGGCGATTTGAAAGGGCGCTGGGAACTTTCAGGCCGAAAGGCCATAACCTGGATTTTTCAGCAGCAGGGGTATCAGATGTAAATACATATGTGTTTTGGACAATTTCGTGGACGAGTGCCCATGCAAAGTAGGGTAAGCCACCAATGGTTTGTTGATCTGCGGCAATCCTCATGTTCGGACGAAACGGCACCACCTGGTGCGCAAAGTGAATCTGTAGCTCTGCATCCGTGCCGGGCCTTGTGCACATTCGGGGGACGAGCGAGTCCCTGTGGCCAGCCAGCGTGCCGACCTGTGTCTGCCCCACGGCAGACTACCCGGTGGTGAACAAGAAGAAGCCATTCTGGATCGTGAAGAACTCGTGGGGCGGCAACTGGGGCGAGCAGGTCAGTCTAGCCGGCCACGGCGCCGGCCCGCCCAGACGCCACTAGCGAAGGTGGGAACGGGCCGGGTTCAGCGAGCCCGCGGCAGGCCGGTCCACTTTGTGAGCCGTCTCAGTGTGTGGGACTCCGGCATACTTCACCCTCTAACGTGATGCTGAAGACGCGTCTTCCGGTGTGCTGGTGGTCACTACCGAGGCGTTCCTGGTCTGTCTCGCGCCGGCTGTATTGGTCGTGTTCCTGCCGTGTGGCTGTTACCGCCGGTGATGGCCGGCTGTATTGGTCGTGTTTCTGCCGTGTGGCTGTTACCGCCGGTGATAGCCGGCTGTATTGGTCGTGTTCCTGCCGTGTGGCTGTTACTGCCGGTAATGGCGCCGACTTTACTAGTCGTATTCCTGCCGTGTGGCTGTTACTGCCGGTGATGGCGCCGGCTGTAATGGTCGTGTTCCTGCCGTGTGGCTGTTACTGCCGGTGATGGCGCCGGCTGTAATGGTCGTGTTCCTGCCGTGTGGCTGTTACTGCCGGTAATGGCGCCGGCTGTAATGGTCGTGTTCCTGCCGTGTGGCTGCTACTGCCGGTGATGGCGCCGGCTGTAATGGTCGTGTTCCTGCCGTGTGGCTGTTACCCCCGGTGATGGCCGGCTGTAATGGTCGTTCTGCCTGTGGCTGTACTGCCGTTGATTGGCGCCGGCTGTAATGGTCGTGTTCCTGCCGTGTGCTTACTGCCGGTGATGCGCCGGCTGTAATGTCGTGTTCTCGTGTGGCTGCTGCGAATGGCGTGTTCTGCCTGTTACCCCGGTGATGGCATTGGACGAGCCGCCTGTCTGCGCCGGCCGCCTCACCGCTGCCGGCGCGGTAGTCGGTAGGCGTGGTCAGCACCGCACCGCCCGCCTGCCGCAGGGCTACTTCCGGCTGTTCCGCGGCAGCGACGAGTGCGGCGTCCAGGACATGGCCTCCTCCTCCGTGGTCGCCTGAGCGTCTGGGGCGCGCCTGTCCGGCTGCCGTCGAGGCCGCCGGCGGAAACGGACCCGAGCCGCGCCAGCCTGCGTGGCCGCTGTCTTCCGCGGTTACCCGGGGCAACGCGTGGCACGCGACAGATTGCCTCTCGGACATGCGCCGGTGGCTCTTTTATATAGCGGAGTTTGAGCCGTGTAGAGATGTACTGGGGCTGATTGCAGGGTCTGATCTCGGTGTTGTATGCGGCCGGACCGATGGGAGGTCTCGTCCGGCCGCTCGTAGCTCTGGCTTGGAATGCGGGTCACAACGTCGTTTATCTACTTTCTAAACTGGCGGGACTGTTGTTCGCGTCGTCTTACTCGCGTACACCTATGTACGGCCTGTCGTATGCATATGTACGTCTGTCGAGATTATCACATTATACTCGATGGTTTAGTGTTTGTGTATATTTGACAGGCGGCTGTATCACGGCGAGTCGCTGGGCTGATCATGTGCTAGTGAGGTGGCTTAGAGAATGGGACAGGTGAGTACATGTCTGACCACTGTCTGCCGGCCGGCCTGCCGCCTGCGGGACGCGCACTATGCTAACCGGCACTAGACTTGTGAGGAGCCTCCGGGCTTTGGAGCTTTGCCTCCGAACCATGTGTTTGGTCGTACGTAGGTGAATGGCGGTCGGCTTCCTGGCATTATTCGGGGATTTCCGAGCCACCGCATTATTTTATACTCGGCGCCTTTTCGTCGTAAGCGAAGCTGTATCAAAGTCGGGATCCGAGGCCCTCGGAGGCGTTGTACACTGCGTGAGATTTGTGAATATATCTGCCCGCGTCCTGAAGGTCTCGGAACGGGAGCACGAACATGAACATAAGTATCGTGAGATGAACATCCACCGGCTTGCTGGGCGGGAATCCTGGCAAGACAGGAACAGACTCACTGGCTTCGGTGTCCGCCGTCACGGCCTCGCCGACTCGTCTACTGCACCACGCGGGTGCGCGGGCGGCAATCTGAGGCCAGACGGTCGCCGGTGTCGCAGTCGGGGGGTCCAGTCTTCCGGCCTATCAGCGGGCGCCGGTGCTGCGATAGACCCCGCGTCACTCGCAGTCAGGGAGGTCCGGCCTCCCGCCTATCGGCGGACGCCGGCACTGTGATAGACCCCGCGTCACTCGCAGTCAGGGAGGAGGTCCGGCCTCTCGCCCATCGGCGGACGCCGGCACTCCGATAGACCCCGCGTCACTCGCAGTCAGGGAGGGGGTCCGGCCTCCCGCCCATCCGGGATGTCGGCACTGCGTCGCTCGCAGTCGGGGAGGAGGTCCGGCCTCTCGCCCATCGGCGGACGTCGGCACTGCATAGACCCCGCGTCGCTCGCAGTCAGGAAGGGGGTCCGGCCTCTCGCCCATCGGCGGACGCCGGCGCTCCGACGGACCGCCGCGCCGCTAGCAGCGATTGGCGGCCCTGTTATCAATTCACTAGCCCCAGACGATCGGTTGCTGTTTACTGGTTGTACCAGAAGCCCAGCTCCAGCTGTGTGAATCGCGTAGGCCGCATGCAAATATATGCCCGACGGAAACATCGCTGTTGGTCCCGGCTGCGGCTGTTTCTCCACGCAACGCCGGGTTCAGGATTGATTCCATTCAGATGCGTGAAATATGTGTTAGAACAGCTGCGGCGGTTTCGCCGATTTTCGACAAGTCTTGGAAAGCCAGGTCGAGTCATCTTATTTTACAAACGAGTGCATAGTGCTACTGTTTGGGGCACGCTGGACCGCATTACACTGGGCATGGTGCGCTCACGAGGCCTCGTCAACCGCGAATCATTGACAGGTGAAAAAATGTCCGACCTGAATCGAGGACGCTGGGCTAATAATATTCGCCCGGTGTTACTGTGGCCTCATGCTTTGAATTTTGGTCATGAAATGTATGGACGGTACACCGGCAGGTAAACTACTGAGGAATCGGAAAACGAGTCTCACCATCATTACGCGCCACGACGCAAAATATCCAAACCCTTGCTGGGATGTTCGCCATGAGCGCCTCTCGTTCAGAGCCGCCGGAGATAGACGCAGCGGAGGACAAGCGCCTGGCCATTGTCGCCGAACAATAACCGAGATCGCCGGCCATTTCGCCCGCATCTGGCGGCCGGGCGGAAGCGTGCGGGCGCGAGGTGAGGACAGCTCCAGCTTCAGCACTGCCCTGGGAGGGTCGCCAACCTGCGCCCATTGTTTGCGCCGCTGGAGGGGCCGGCTCGCGCCGCCGGGATAAAGGAGCAATCCGTTCCGCGCATTCTGCTTCCAACGGAACGCGCCGGCGCCGACGCCGCAGCTGATACCGGAGCCGGGAAGAGAAATGGACACTGCTCGGATCGCTCCGGCGCATTGTCGTCATCGGCGCTTCAAGACCCCAGCCGGTGGGCGAGAAAATCGGTCTCCCAAGTTTGTAATAGGTCGTGCTGTCAGGTGCGTGTGTGGCCTTCGGAGAGGATCTGGTGCCGAGCAGAGTATCAGAGGGGATTTGGTGCCGAGCAGTGTATCAGAGAGGATCTGGTGCCGAGCAGTGTATCAGAGGGAGTCTGGTGCCGAGCACTGTATCAGGATCTGGTGCCAAGCAGTGTATCAGAGGGGATCTGGTGCCGAACATTGTATCGGAGAGGATCTGGTGCCGAGCAGTGTATCAGAGGGAGTCTGGTGCCGAGCACTATCAGGATCTGGTGCCAAGCAGTGTATCAGAGGGAGTCTGGTGCCGAGCACTGCATCAGGATCTGGTGCCAAGCGGTGTATCAGAGGGGATCTGGTGCCGAGCATTGTATCAGAGGGGATCTGGTGCCGAGCATTGTATCAGAGGGATCTGGTGCCGAGCATTGTATCAGAGGGATCTGGTGCCGAGCATTGTATTAGAGGGGATTTGGTGCCGAGCAGTGAATCAGAGGGATCTGGTGCCGAGCATTGTATTAGAGGGGATCTGGTGTCGAGCAGTGTATCAGAGGGGATCTGGTGCCGAGCAGTGTTCGGGACCGGTGGTCAGCGTTTGTAATCACGTCACTGCGGTCGTCTCTGATGGATGTACGATATTGTTCGGTTTCTGTGGTCTGGACAACGGTGCTGGCCCAGATAGTCAGGCGGGCTGGGTGCGAGGCCCGGGACGGGTGCGCCGCTCTGCCCGACTGACGTACAGAAGTCAGGTGGAAACTGGATTTAGGGATTCAGCCTGGCCCGGCCGATCTTGTCGGGGTGCTGAACGGCACGTAAACCCCCTCGGTCATTTGTGGCGAGAAGGCCGCGGGCTAAGCTATCTGTTGTGCTGGATCAGCCTACTTTGGGTGGGGGCTCAAGAAGGAAGCAGCATACTTCGCTTCGTTTTGGCTCTGAATTCAACCAGCCATCTTAGAAACTGTATTTTAAAAAAAAATATGAGCGTAGTCTGCCGCGAGGAACTTGCAGGAAAACATTGGACGACGGGAAGGCAGTGGGCCAACTTGATGTGTTATGATTAAAAAAGAGCAATTTACCGATGCGAAGCTGCATTAAGGGCCCACATTGTATGACGACTGTTTCTGACCCCAGGCGAGGGGCTCAGGTTCAGGTTCAGGCGAAGGTACAATACAACAATGACCACTTAGATCATCGGAGAGTTCCAAGGCCGGCGAGGTGCATCTACACGGTGACGTATTCCTACATGGTCAAGAGGCCTGAGATGGCCAAACTCCAAGGCAGCCAAAGTGCTCCGAAATAATAGAGTCGCCCGCACACAAGTGGCTCGAAAAAGCCAGAGGTCCACAGACCGTCAGTGGACCCCGAACCTTGAAGTGCCCCTAATGGTTAAGGGGCTTCGGGATGGCCGTGGATCAACTGTCCGGTGGATGGCCATGGAGTCCGAGACGACCAAGAGCCTCGAGGCAATCGGGGGAAGATGAGGTGGTCAGTGGGATCAGGTCCCCAAGGGCTATGTGAGCCGTCCAGAGCCTGGCAGACATGGGCGTCACTTCATATACTCTCGTGGGTCCGAGCCCCCTCCGATTCTGGCTTGAGTCCCCAACCCAATGATCCCCTTCCCTTTCCCCAATGATCATGATAAAAAGGAATACTGGACCAAGGAACTGCATTTTTTTCTATTGGTGGTACATCAGATGCCTGCAAACATACCTCATAGTTTAATTTTCATTTTCTTCCACTTGGTGTCCTGTAGGTACCGTTTATGTGTTTTGTTATTCCAACTCCTTGATATGTTAGCTGTCTGAGGATATTGGCAAGTTTTTACGAGATAACAATTAGCACTTGGTATCGGGGACAAAAAAGGTAGCCTTTTTACACATATATGCGTTTGTTTGGCAGTCGGTGACTGTGGAACAATTTTTCTGTTCTGATAACTGCGTGATGTTTCGCTGTTCCCGCAATTCATTCTTGATAGTTAGCATTTGTTGCGCCGCTCCCCATTGCCGCGTATCAGGTTACCATGTGTCCACCTACGCGGTGTATGCTCTCCGTAACCGTGCGTTGCTAATGGGTTTATGTGGCCGGTCATGAACGCAACGTTTAGTTCTTCCTTCATACAATATCCTCACGTGGGGGTTACAATCAACCAGATAGAAATGGTAAGGTTTTCCGGGGGCGTTTTTTCTTCCAGCCGATTGACACATGTGAGGTGGATCCCGATTTCAGATGGGCACACTGGGGTCTGCAGGGCTGATTGAACTGACACAGACTGGTCCACGCTCCCCTAAAGCCGTGCAAACCACTCGGTGGTAGGGTGATATTCACATGTTTCCACAGCTTGTCATCTATAGCCGGGAGATTCACTGAACAATTTGTTTCTTCATCTTTCGACGGCTTCATCGTGAACCAGATTTATTGTTGAACCTGATTTTCGCAGGATTATACATTTAGGGTGTGCTCACAACTCATTCATGAAAACTAAGTTAAACGAGCCGCGGGAACCAGCATTTTTTGTGTCGTAAAGTAGCGTCGCATATTTTCGATCGTCCTATTTATACATCACTTATACTGAGTGATAAACATTTTTATTGATTTCCGGTATTAATATCGGGCCATCTTACTACAATGTTTTTGTGATTTCTACCCAAATCTAAGCTTCTCAGAAATTTGCAATTTCACATGAGATTGAAATGCGACCTCATTCTTCCTCAAAGAAATTGATATAGGCCGAGTCGTTTTGAATTATTTAATATTTGGCATTGCCAACAAAAATTTGAGCGCCTGAGATCCGAGGAGAAATCAGGTTTTCGGGTTAGGTCAACCCTATCGGCTGAGCCCCCTCCCCCCGACACCGATTTTAAATTGACTTCCCTGCTGCAGGATGTTGAGAATCTGAAATTGTTCAGGCTGGCGATACTGTCAAAGGCCAAATGAGGATTCAAGGATGCACAGAGCTTGGACAGATGGACAGATGGGCAGAACAGAACGGAGCTTGGGGTTGTCAAGAGCTTCAGATGGCCGCAGCACCACGGACAGATTTAAGGGCTGCCGATGTCTTATCGGTCTTATTTTGACTGGGGCTTCCAAGCAGTCAACGGAGCCGAGGAATTCCAAGACTCTGGGATGGCCAACGATCGCAAGATAGTCAGCGGGCTCAAAACGGATCAATGGTAGGATGGCCACTGGCTTCCCAAGAGGTCAAATAGCCAGAGACGTTCGAACGCAGAAACGATCGAACGACCGCTCGTTTTCGTAAAGCCTTTCGTGAATACGGAAGGCTGCAAGAAAACCAATGGTATCGGGGTGGCCACTGGATCTCAGCTGGTCTCGAATGGGTCAGAGGTGTTCAGGAGGGTTAATCCCACATGATCCCTCGTGGTCCCTGCAGCGATAGCCAGCGTGCCAAGACG